CCTTATATCTGGGAGCGGCTACGTACGCAGCATTTTTGGGAAATTGTAGTCGGTGAGTTTACTACTTTATACAACTTCTGTGATATTACTACTACTTCTACTTCCTGTTATCTTCTTCATCATCGTCTTTTTCACCAGTAGAAACAGCCGGTTGTTGATCACGTGACTCCTGTGATGTGAAAAAAGTGTTTCCATTGCAGTTTTGTGAAAAAACCCAATTTCAATACGGCCGAAAAACCACCTCATCCTAGAGCAAAAACATTTTGTTGAAAAACGTAATTTTTTTTCAAAACTGACGTGTTTCCATTGAGCAAATTTTCAAAATTCTAATTTGCGTATTTTCATGGTGAATGGAAACACAGCTACAGATAAAATATAAAAATGATGATACTTCACCGTTACAAACTCAAACTGCTGAAATKAAGATTTATCTTAGAGCTGCTGGACCACTACTGTGATTCAACAAATAAACCCTTTGTTAAAAATCCACTTTCATTAAATCTCAGGTCTGTTAAAAACCAGGATAAAACGTTTTAGCCATGAGTTTATTCACATGGATGGTTATTACTGAAATTAATATTCATTTTCATTCAATTATTATAGATTTATTCAATTAAAAACAATTCCAGTGTGTTCACACTAAAATGTAAATTAAACCTCAGCAAATGAACATTTTTTTTCTGTTTGAAAATTTTGATTTTTTTCAGTTTCAAGAAATGGAATTTAATAAACAGATACAAAAAAACTTTAGGATGATGCCTGATTACTCACCTGGCCAGGTTGAAGGCATCATCAATAAGTCCTGCTCTGTTTCCAACAGAGATGATCTAAACAAATAAACAAACAAACAAACAAACAAATAAATAAATAAACAAACAAACTGCAGATCAAACAAACTAACAAGTAAAATCCAGATTATCGATCCAGACTAACAGGCAGGTTTACCTGAGGGTTGGCGTGCAGCTGCTGAATCAGCAGTTTCCAGTTGTGGAGGTCGTAGTTCACCCGGAAGTAACCTGTTTGGTTAACGTTGCCGAGCAACCAGGTGTTGTCATCCATCTGACCAATCCGGTGGGTTTCTGAGTTCAAACAAATTATGTCAGTTTAAATTACAAAACAACTCAAATAGGTAAAAAAAATTATGGTGCGGTACTATACACGCTAGTCTCTAGCCTCTCTGATGCTAACGTCAGCTTATTAATGCTAGTTGTTAGGCTCTCTGATGCTAACGCCAGCTTATCCATGCTAATTGTTAGCCTCTCTGATGCTAACACCATCTTATTACTGCTAGTTGTTAGCCTCTCTGATGCTAACGTCAGCTTATCCATGCTAATTGTTAGCCTCTCTGATGCTAACACCAGCTTATTAATGCTAGTTGTTAGCCTCTCTGATGCTAACACCAACTTATTAATGCTAGTTGCTAGCAGCTCCAATGCTAACGCCAGCTTATTAATGCTAGTTGTTAGCCTCTCTGATGCTAACACCAGCTTATTAATGCTAGTTGTTAGCCTCTCTGATGCTAACACCAGCTTATTAATGCTAGTTGTTAGCCTCTCTGATGCTAACACCAGCTTATTAATGCTAGTTGTTAGCCTCTCTGATGCTAACACCAACTTATTAATGCTAGTTGCTAGCAGCTCCAATGCTAACGCCAGCTTATTAATCTCTAAGTCTTATAGATAAGGAATGTTTAAGATAAATCACTGAGGAGGAGAAACTTATCAACATGAATCAAAAAAATATATTTTGAATGTGAACGAGTAAAATTAAAATGTGATCTGAGCAAGTAATGGTAACTGAAACCAGACGCCTGCTAACTGTGAGCTCTCCTCACATGTTTCCATGTAAACCTTTGGACTAAATGTCATTAAGGGTTGACTCATGGCAGTAGAAAGCTGCAGCAGGAGGCGAGCAGTAAAAACTAAATCAGTTGGATAAAAGCTGGCAGATGTGCTCCACATTCAGCTCGTATGTGGATCAGCAGAACCTCTGCGTCTCAGAGGAGAACAGAAGCTGGTTCTGATCAGACTAAAGCTTCGCTTTGTTTCCAACAACAASAAGAGAGACTCCATCGTCTCAGATTTAAACCAATCATCCCGTCTCCACGCAACTTCCAAATTACATTCACGACTCGGCGTTTCCTGCCTGCAGGTGTTAATAACAAGCAGAGGACAAAACACGGCTTTTATTCTTCAAGAGCAGAGCAGGCGTGAAGCTTTTTGTTTTCTATAAAACCCAACAGAAGCAGCTCAAGATTGATTTTTAAAATGTTGTGTTGAAAAAATATAATCAGCTTGTGTCTGTAAAATCCCCCGGYGGGTTTTGTTCCACAAAAACCTGAGTGAAAATAATAACGTTGATTAGGAAAAGCTTTGTTTTTGTTTATTTCAAAGCAACATAAAAGCCTAGGACAGGAACAGAAATACTGTTTCTTTTTTCTTCGTTGTGAGGACCGAGGCAGGACTGAAGCAGACGGCAGCACCTGTGAGCTCCATCTTCATCCATTAAAGCAGCTCACATCCGTGGAGCTGAGCGGGTAATTAATCGGCCAGCCGGAGCTCGTTTGCTCCGCTAACAAACCCTCCCCAGGTGACGGCTCGTTAGCTCAAAGTAACAATTGAATCACYAGTGGAAAATAAACTTTATGGAGATGTCGGCTGAGTGGCAGGGAGGGGTACGGGATACATTTTGTGCCAGCAGGAAGTGAATTTGAYTTGTTCKGACTGAATCTGAATGTGCACAATCTGAAATTGAATGAAGTG